TGAAATTAGACATCCCGGTCCTTCGTGCAAGGCTGTTGCAAGGCGGAGCACGAGAATACCTTTTTCAACGCGCTCACTATTTTCGTTAAAAGGGCTTCACGCATAAAGGCCGACAGTCCCTGCCACCATTTCCGCGCCGCCACCACCGCTGCCGTCCCCGCTCCTCTGGTTCTCCGTTCGTCCGCGGGAGAGCGAGCGGCGCACTGGAGTTGCGAATATGCACCGCAGCTGCGTAGAGCGTCCATCGCTCGTGCGGGGTGTCACAGGAAGAATCGCCAAACAGTGGGGCTGCACGGCGGCGTAGCTGTCTGCCATCGCAGACACAAAGATGGTGCAGTTCCCAGAACACACCTCTCCTAAACCACACCTGAATACACCCTACAGATAAATTGTTCCAAAAATTAATTTGCCCCGCTGATTCGCTAGCCCGCCCTTCTGTCTTTTTAACCATAAATCTTGATGTGGAGCAACCACAGCAAATTAAAAAGCACATTATTTTGCTTACATATATAGAATGTTCACTTTGGGGAATTCAAGCATACGTCCAGAATGACATGCAGGTACTATCGGGTTCGAATGAAAAGCAAACAGCGGAGTTGCATGGCCGTCAACACATGCGGCACCTCCTGGAGGCCTTTGGAAACTGATAAAACTGTGGGGTGGAGAGCAGCACGGTGCAAGGGGGTGCGTCGTAATCCAGTGTGTTTGACCCTCGCCCAGCACTACCCAAGCTTCGACGCTGCTCAGCCACTCTCCTTGGCTCGGCACGAGCCACGCTACGAAGCTTGCTGCTTGCAGCAGGAGCAAGCTGCTTGCTGCGCGCGAGTGTCAGCGGAACATGATTGCAGCATTATGCTCCCTCCGAACTTGTGCAGAATTTTTTTTTTTCTTACACAGTGGGGTTGAGGCATTTGCTTTTGTCGATTGCAGCATTTGTGTTCGCTATCTGTTCATTATTTTTTTTTTGTACAGAGGCTCTCTGGCAATATACATGCTATTTTCCATCCACGCTGTTTCACTATTTTGCAGCAGCCATGCACTCGCAGTCCTTCACAAGGACATCTGCATGGTTGTGATAACTGCTGTTAATCAAGCTCCCCAGGTCTTCGCTGCACAAACAAACTGCCAGCAAAATGTGACTTGTCAATGATAACGTTACTGAACTTTGCTAAAACGTTTTGTGAATGCAGAAGCTGGTGTACCTGAATTTTTCCAATACCAGCGCCACACGCTGGGAGCCGATATATAAAAGTTTGCCAAGTAATTGACTTCATTTAGATGTCAACAGCCATGTTAGGTTCCCTCTTGTTCTCCTGCCTCAAGTGTTGTACAGTTTTTGCTATACTGTTCACAAGGAAATCACAACGCACATTACAGCAAAAAAATGTACTGCACAAGTTACGAGAGAGCAGGACGCTGCGGTCATGCTCCACAAACACACACGTTGTAGGAGACTAGCGTGGAAGACGGGGTGGAGGGCACGTGACAGGCGGTCGGCCGAGAAGACACGAGCTGGCGCCAGACAGAGCGTGCCGATCGAGGCTGGGGAAGGCAGGGCAGGAATGACGGGGCCGGTCTGGCTGGTCTGCCCCATGGCAACCCCGGAGCGGTCCACAAGCGAGGTTCCGACTAGGACCGGTGGGAACGGCGAGCCCTGGCCATACCAACCTGGGCCATGACGATCCCGGTGTGTTCACAGCGGCGCGGTGAGACTCGGGCCATGATAGCCCAGAACAGCTGGCCAATCCAGCCCTGGCGTGGGAAAGACGATTCGCAGGCCTGGACACGGACTCCGACTGCGAGCTCTGAACTAAGGGCAACAACAAGGGTCAACGGACCCGGACTGCCGGCTCTGAACGATGGGCAATAAGGAAGTACAGTAAACCCATTCGCTGTCATCTCATTGTCTCGTGTCACTCCCTGGGAGATGAACGAAGTGAATACCGATAGGGAGCGATTCTTATAGAGCGAGATCACAAAAAGAAGACTACAACTGGCGCATCCAATGTGGGGCCCAGTCGGTATGTCTCTGCTTCTAGTCGTCTTCAGGAAGTCCCACGGATTCATTGAGCGGGTTGTCCACTAACGCTAACGATGCCCGTTAGACAAAGTCTGTTGGAATTTTGGCAACTTGTCACACAGGAGAGCTCAGCAGGTGTCTCCTCGTGTCAAAACCGAAAGGACACGAAAAACGAGGTTGAGGACGCACTCTCTCCAGCACCCCAAAATAGTGGTTGGGAGGAGGTGATACAACCGGGGTGGTGGCGAGGAGCATTGGTAAGATGTAAGAAAGTTGTCTTCGGAGGCAGAGGAGTGGCACCGCATGTTTGCTGGAAGACAGGATAACGACTGGCAGGAGGGGAAACAGCCAGAACTCGTAGCAGAAGCAGTTGACACCGGAAAAGCTGGCAGGCGAATTAATGAGTACTACAATTTGTATTTGCTGGGCCAAGACGGCTTTTTGCTTCGCGTCATCCCAACAATCAACGATGGGCAGAGGAACACTTCTCCCTTCAGGTGGGTCGTTCCTAAAAAGCTAAGAAGGAGATTTATAGAATACTTTTCTGACTTCACTCTGGCCGGTCGTGGCAGTGACAGCAAGACTTTTCATTAGTTATGTCGCGCCATGACCTTGTCAGGGATGAGGCGGTAGACATTTAGGTGGGCTTGTAGCTGTCCAGCTTGCCTTAAGGCGCAAACGGTTCAAGCGGGCTTGCTTGCTGAGCTGCCGCCCCCTCCAAGGACCGATCAGTTCCTAGAGCTCGTTGCACGTAGAAGGAATGGGACACTGACATATATCGCGGTCAAGCAAGACGAAGAAGAGGCTCGAAAAGAGCATTCGCGCACCCGCGATAGCGGTCACACTCCGATTCGAAAACGCCATGAGCAATGGCGTTTTGTATTTTAAATCTGCGTTTATTTACACTATGTACAGTTCAAGTCGGAAAGAAGCGAGCCATTGCTCATGGCGTTTTGGAATCGGAGTGTGACCAGACGGGCGCGCACGTGCTCTTCTTGAGCCTCGTCTTCGTCTCACTTGACCGCGATAGATATCAGACGCAGATGCTTACATCGAGTCGCACGCGGTATACGCGGCCGTTGTGGAGTGCAGGTAGGCAGTGGCGTCACGAGGGTCAGCAGCACGCGGGGCGGTAGCCCGCCGCGACTCCCCCCCCCCTTCCCCCCTCCGCGACACCCCCGAGCGCGGCACCCGGGGTGGTCCGCCCCCCCCCCCCCCCCCCTTGTAACGCCACTGCAGGTAGGGTATATGGCAATCCCACCTCGGGCTTTCGATTCCTTCGCTTGTGCAACAGATGGACTTGGTTTACACCATCATTACCTAGTCCTGAAGGAAACTCACCCTCTGAGCAAGGCAGCTAGTGGTTTTGCCGCATCGCTAGTTACGAGTTGAGGGGGCCCGAATGCGGTGAAGACGCGAGCGTCGTGTCTTACTTCTAGACTTACTCGGCGAGATTCAAACAAGGAGTCTGGCCCGGTTCGCATCGCTGACTTGAAGGGATACTACCGTCACAATGGGGAAGATGATTAACATGAGGTTGTGGCAGGACACAGGAAATCCCGTTCCTGGCGACCCAGGAGCGAGCTCCGGGATGCAGACTCGCCGAGTTAGCCGCACGGTACACGAACCCGTCGGCAAGCAATTTTGCAGTGGAGGCTATGGCCACTACCACAATCTGCGGCAGAGTATTTGTTCGTTTCGTGTTGTTTCAACACTTTGTTCTGTGCAGAATGGCTTCTTGGAAAGACGGCCATAGACCTCGCCACCCAGGAAGTCCACCGCAAGGAAACACGGGCCCATTCGTTTTCCCGAGTGCTCAGGGTGGCTGACACTTGTTCGGCCTGACGAACGATTCAAGCAGGCAGTTCTACGCTTGCAGCGACCTCTAAGCTATGACGGAAGTTCCAGCGCATCACCGGCACAGCATTGAAGCTTGGGTTGTGCTGAGTAAGGGTCAAACCCATTGGAGTGGGGAGCCCACCAATGCAGCGCCCTACCCTCCAACACGCAGTTTTACCTGTCTTATCAGTCTACAGAAGCCTACAGGAGGTGCAGCATGTATCATTGGCCACACACTCTGCTGTTTGTAGTTCATTCGAACCTGATAGTACCCAAGAATAGCACTGTGCACACTGGGAATTTTTGTATGGTTCGTTACAGCCACAGACCTTCCCTATACTTCGTTTCAGCTTAAGCCCAGAAGCAGCCAAAGCTACAATCACGAGCATGTGGCCCTGAGCAGTGCTTGTACAGGACAAGCGCGCATGCTTGGCAGCGACGCTGAAAGCCAGGAGCTTGCGCTTGTAGCATCGGCTGCATCTGGACTTAAGCTGAAATGAAGTATAGTTCTCGACCTGGGATAATTGAAACTGAAATTACCAGTGCTGAAGTTACAAAATGATAGTTGCATCTTGAAAAAAAGAAACGCTATTCTTGTTGATTTCATTTTTTTTTTTGTTTTTGTTTTTTTTTGTTTAGACAACATTTAAATTAGGAAGCCGCGCTTATATCCTCCGTCCCTCTCTCTTTCTGGTGGGACTCGGAACCCGTTAACATCAAAGCAAATATCTGACGGATATAAGTGACGTGCATACGTACTACCTGGTCACCGGCTCCATTGCAAGCTCCTTTGATCATTAGCTTGCATTTCTTTTCCATCTGCGCGGGGCTACCTGTTCAAAGAGAAAAAAAAATGAAATTGAAGGCTAACAAATTATGAGGATTACAACTTAATTTAGTAAAGAAACGGAGCGAACTTACCGATAGCCACGATCCTCGCTGGGTGTTTTTCTCCCTCCCACCTGACTTGTACTTCTTTGTTGAATATATTCGAATCCCTCGAATTTTGCAAAATTAATGCGCCTATTTTAGTATCTACCAAGTCCCTTAGGCTAACTACATCATACACGCGAGTCCTTCCGGTATTTACCCACCTAACTAAAAGGTGGCTCATTTTAGCAAACAGCAAGTGCCGCCAAGAATGACCGAGATGAAAGATGATAAATTGACAAAAGACAAGGTACACACGTGCAAACAAAAACACTCCTGGATTGGATTGGATCGTTGGACGGTTAGACAAGAATGTTTGACACCAGTGTTGGCAGACGGTAACTTTTTTTAGAGCATCGTGCGCTCTCCTTTAACACAAAAATGGCAATATATTGCTAATTTCTTTTTTTCGCTCTCTTAGAGCATATTAAAAATGTCAACTGTTGTAGCCGCTTAAAATGTATAGATTAGAAATGCCAGGTGTCTGTCAGTACGCGTTTAAACTATTCGAAGTGATCCTTTGCTCCGCCGTTCTGCAGTGTGCAGAAAGGAAGAAAAAAAAGAGTAGTTTGCTGTAGTTTGCACCCTGTAGTTTCCACCTCGGAGGTAGGAACAGAACCTGAACGACAGAGGAGTGGTCGTCCTTCTGTTTCTGTACTTTATAGCGTAAACGCTTCGGAGTGTCGTTTCATCGACAAACGTTTTATCGAAGCACGTTTCCCCGACAACCTTTCATCACGTGAAATGCCTCGAAGACTAACGAATATTTCTCGACGAACTGATGATTGCAACAGCGTGTACCTTAACGTATAAATAAATATCTATCGATCTATCTGAACCTCACACGGAAAAAGCTGAAAGGCAAATCGGCCAGCCACGGGAAATGCACAGGTCCATGGCTTTGTAACACACCTGTACACAGTACATCATATGGCTCTGCAGCTTTCCGGTCCTTGTTTGGAAAATAAATTAAGTCACGAACCGCGTGAGTTAAACACAATCAAGGTAGAATTGCTGGAGCCGTTAGAAAGTAGGCCTAGCGAGGTGTGTACAAGCAATTGTACACACCTCGCACATTGGTACGAGTACACACTGGCCACACATTGGTGTGGCCAGTGTGTACATTGTACACACTGGCCACACCAATGAACCAAGAGTTAACTCTTGGTTCATTGGTGTGGCCAGTACATACATGGGGAGGCATTCACTTGATCGATTAACGTTTTAGCGAACGCCCCCGTTTCACGGAATGACACTGAGGACCAGTGGCCCAGTTCTGAGCTCCGTGCCCCTTAACGTACCTGCCGAGCTCGTGAGCACATGAATGCATGCAGTACAGCTAGGACTTCAGGCGTCCTCCTCCACAGCGTGCGCTCGCGCTTGTAGTTTCAATCCCAATCAGAGCACGTAGACAGGAAAGCTTCTTAGAAGTAAGCCTGTTTCACGTGCTGCAATTGTTTCCCCAAATCGTTGCGATTTTTGCCACTCTGCGACTAAAAGCACAGTTGCACCGTCGCAGCGGCCCTGCTACTGGTTACGATCGCTTGAAATGTCTCAGGCTTTGTTCAAGAAACTTTTGATCAACAAAATTGCAAAGCAATCGCTCGTGGGATGTCTTTCTCACCGACAATCGACAAACAACGAACAAATCGCCGTGTCGGCTGTCCCGATTTTTTTCGCACAGTTCCTGCAGTCGCTGTGCGTGAAACAGCCTCCAGCGTTCATCACTGTGTTTCGCATGCGATTTTCTGGCCGGCCCCTGTCGGAAGCGTGCGCTGGCTAGACTTCCTTTAAGTTCGGCGTCAATTTTTCATGAACAACGTTGTCAAGGCTGCACAAGAAAGCAAAAGTGTGCATCTTGTTCCGTCAACCCCCGCATAAGGTTTGTTAACTCGCTACTGCGTGGTTTACATTAGCAACCGCATGCAAGAGTTCATACTCAGCACCGGGAAAGTGCCTTATCCACAACGTGAACTCGTGCACCAGTAAAATGTTTAATTCACAACGTGAACCACTTGCAGATCTGGCTAGATCAACATACCCAGCCAAAGCACTGCAAATGTATTGCTTTCGACATCTTGTAAACCCTGAGACGGGGAACGATAAAAAAAAACGGACGTTAAAAAACGGACGTTTTTTTATCGTTCCCCATCTCAGGGTTTACAAGACGTCGATTGATTACCAGCTCGCCTGCACTCTCTCACTGCTTAAAAAGTATTGCTTTGTTTGATTCTACCGTGTTCATTTTAGATAGTGAACGTTCAACATAATGTCGGCCTGAATCCGTGCGAGTTCTACCACCAACATTTCGCAGCGCCACTTGTGAAAACTGCAGGGGCGCTGCTCCACCAAAGCAGTTCAAAGAATTGCCGCTACATGCAATAAAGGCGGCGCTTTCATCCGTCAGAGACGCGGGACGTCAGGAGCGGGTGTCCGGATTGTCCAAAGAGGCGTCTAGTTTACTACCCAGCTCTTTTGCGAGCCAGAACACGTGCTCCGCAGCGCAGCGTCTCGCAGCACGTTGTGATAACAGTGATGTGTTGACAGCAGGCACGGCAGGCATGTTTTGAGACCGTTTAAAGTAAATAATGTCCACGTTAGGTTGCGCGGACGCATTGCACCTGCAGCTTCAATTTGAATAGATCGGCTGGGATCCTCGACGTCGTCGGCGTTTCCGTTGTCGGCGTGCACAAAAGTGAGTGCTCTTTTTTCGCTGGGGGTGTTGTACGCAGCGATTTGGCGAGCGACGAGGCAAGCGACGACGACTCGCTTGAAGGATGAATTGCATGTAAGCGATATAGCGAGTGACGAGACGAGCGAAAGTGACAGCGACGAGCGACGGAGTTCTCACGGTCGCTTGTCGCGTCCCTCGGTTTTTGGATTTCTAGAAATCGTCGCTCATCGCTCTGGTCGCTTACTCCCGTCGCTTTCATACGGTTTGCCTCGTCGCGCGAGTGACCGACCGACCGACAATGAACCGCATGAAAACGACGGGAGCGATGAGCGACGTTTTCTAGAAATAAAAAAAATAGCGACGCGATGGGTGACAGTGAGAAATCTCCGTCGCTTGTCGCTGACGACTCTCGTCCCTGTCGCCGTCGCTTGTCTTGTCGCTTGCTAAATCGCTTACATGCGGTTCGGCCTTAATGCTATACGCACTACGCCATGCATCTCGACCGGAAATGGCTATACGCACGACGCGAAACTTGTTGGGTCTCGTATTAAACGAATTGTCAGAAGAAGTGTTTTGTAGCTGTAGCGTAGTGGAAAGGAGTCTTCTATATACACGTTCGAGCCAGAGTGGGTTTACTTTTTTTCCCTTCTTTTCTAACTTTTTTTTTTTTTTGTCGAGCATTTGGCGATATTGATGACGTTTCTTTATTGCAATTATCATTGAAAGAGGGAAAAAGAACATTGTCGACGAAACTTTGCTGAACTAAATGGTATGGGACTCCCTTTCCGGAGGTGCAGTGGGGGACAGTGGTACTATGGTGCCTGGAGCGCGTCTCTGACTGGTGTGTTCAGCGTCCTGTGCTGCCCATACATCAAAAGTGGTCCCAAAGTGGCAACAAATAACGTCACAGGACCCGGAGTGTCATGCTGTCGGAGGTCGTGATCCTGGCGGTTGGCTGAAGAAATGCTGGCAAAAAGCATGAGCGAACGCGAGTGTCGCTGTCGTCGCGGTGTCCCAACTTCTGGCTGCTGGCGCTTCCATGGATTGCCACCCTGGAGTGCGACCTGCAGAACAGGCGTCTGCCACATACGCCAGAGCTATTGGGACGCCACCAGGATCGCGACTGGCGGCAGCATGACACTTCTATGATGTCACTAGGCGGAAATGGAGGGACCAGTTTTTTTGGGCGGGGTAAACACTCCAGTCGGAGACGCGTTCCAGGCACCAAAGCGGAACTTCGGTTGTCGGCTGGACGCCTCCAAGCGGCGTGTTCGAGGGGGGCCAAGTGGGTTTATAGTTTTGTAATGAGCAGCCGCAGGCTGTCGCCGCGGAGCGGTGTGAATGCGGGCAAGAGGACACATGATATCCGAAAAGGGTGACCCAAATGGCATGAGCTCTCCGTGCTGTCGTGCATATAGCAACTTCTGGTGGAGCTGCACTACATAGTGCATATCGCATTGCTCTTGAAGCGTTAGCTGCGTTCGATTGACCTACACCTCCTGCACCGCTGCAGAAAAGTGTAGGGCAGTCTACTTCCGGCATGTGTATTCAGTCTACTTCCGGCATCTGTATTCAGATGTGGCCGGAAGTACACCGCCCTACACTTTTCTGCACCTGTGCAGGAGGTGTAAGTAAATCGAACGCAGCTAATGTTTTTGAGCGTGTGGGCTGGTCTTTCATATGTATGATTCTTGTGTGCATTCATTATGTGCAAATAACCCTGATTTTTGTTTTAGATGGAGCAGGTGGGGGCGTACAAGATGTACCTCCAATCTGACACCGGTAGTGTCCCCAGGCGTTCAGCACATCGCTACAAACAGCAGCATCTGGTGCTGAATGACTCGGCCAGGTAATTATTTTCTATCTGTACATATATGCAAAGACATGGTGTCACAGCCACAGGGAAAAATGTATGGAAAATTGTAGGCAATTGTTGGGCAGTTATGTGAAACATATTGCCACAACTGCCAGTCAGGTGTCCTTATAGACACATCCCGAAATTACTCCCTCTTCAAGCAGAGTTGGAAATGCTGCACAGCTGTGTCTGCAAAAGACGCTAAAAATGGAAAGCCGATCGCTTAAATATAGTTCACTTTTTCTTGTTCAAAATTGTACAAAAGAAGGCAACTCAATGATACATTAGCCTTGCCGCACCTCTTTGGTAGCTGCCCATCCCTGCGGCGGAGCTTGTACTTCCCCACATGAGGGTGTAGGCAGCATTATACAATAGCTTTGCCACCTTGATGGTGTCTTTCGCACACATTACTGTGCAGGATTTCTAGATTTGCTTAAAGAGGGTGTAATTTTGGGATAGGGTCATTTCTAAGCATCAGGATTGAAAGCTGAGCTAGTTGGTACCGGTTCATGATAAAGTAAAAAGTGCACAAGAAAAAAACAGAGCAAAAAAGAGGACACATACTGGGCAACTTTCCCAGCAATTTCGGTGTTGCTGGCGAGTTCCCTAGCTTTCCCTGGTGCAACACGAATTCCTCAGATTGCGTCTGGCTTGAAATGGACGAGCGACTCGGAGAACTTGGAGAAGTTTGAAGCGAGAGCAGCCAATCAGGGATGCAGTATTTTTGCGTGAAAGTCCATACCGGTGGTGATGACAAGTAAAGACTTCGTTAGTGTTTGGAGTCAACCGTTTTTGAGAATAAACCATTTCAGAAAGATGAGCTACTATTCTCAATGGCATTAAAGGTATAGAAACGTGTTTATAGGGTGCAACTGTGTGTTTGACTAGTGAACGAAAAGTAAAATTTAGTGATGATGATTGCAAATCATTGCAATTGGTTGCTGCGTGTGAGTGTGGGCGGCCCGTGTTGCTGGTGTTGCAACGTCGAGTTGCTGGGAGAAATTGCCCCGTCTGAAGCAAGCTTAAGTTTTAATCATTGCATTTTCCTTCAGTCCTGCTCTCATTATCCTTTGCCATACCATGCTAAAAACGCTAGTTCTCGTCTGATCACCGAAGCCAAGCAGCATCGGGCACAATCAGTACTTGGGAGGAAGATCACTTTTTGGCCTTGCTCCCCCTTTAGTGAAGGGTCTAGTTTGAGCCGTTTCCATGGCTCCATGGCTACAACCACATGGCTTTTGTCAACCAATCAGCTGTTGCGAGGTTACGACGCGACTTCACTGAAAACCAAATGTAGAGCCAAAAAATGTTTCACATTAAAAAATGGGGCCCGTAGCATTTTATTGAGAAACATTTAATTGGAACATCAGCTTTTCTCTGACACACGTTTAGCTCTTTCCTGATCATGGGAAAAGTAGCAATATTTAAAGGATCCGTGCAAAAGCTTTTATTTAGCTAACTAAGTTGTGTATGGAGCAATATGACACATGAAAACGTGGCCAATTAGATTTTTTTTAAAAAGACAGGTTAATATAATGTTTAAAAAAAAGATTTGCAAATTTTGAAAGTACAGTTTTATGTTCAGAAGGCATATAAACGCCGAAATTTCTACAGCTATGTCAAATTAAACAACAAATAAGAAAAATTCAGAATATAGAAAATGTGCCCCACACCCACGACTGTTACGTCTGAAAGGTAGTGTACTCTATGCACTCTAACTGACATTGTCTATTTTCGGTTCGTCGGACAGTTAGCTTCTGTAAATCGTGTGCTTTTCAACGAAGGAATGCTTACATTGGTGGAACACAGGTAGTACGCCTCAACCTCACATTTCTAGCAGAATGCTTTCCTTGTGTTCTACCTTGGTTTGTCATGGCCTCGATTACAGTTCCCTCATATTTGGATTTTTTGTGCACCTTGTTGGGAACGTAAAGCGTCCACGCCGTCTCGGACAGCCTTAGAAATTATAGGGATGCTTACCAACAACCATCAGTTAGCAACACTTATAACATTATTCAAAGTATCCCCAAAGGTCTTGGCCTAAAACATATGCCATAATACAGTTGAATACTGTAAATAATGCCATCTTTGTTACGAAGACTGATGCAAGCAGTTGGCCATGTTAGACAAGTGACAGCACCTTTCCTATTACTATCTTCGACAGCCTACCAGCTTGTGATAAAGCTTAAGTGTACGTCGAAACTGAAACTTGAGTTATTCGGCCATCCACAAGATTGTGTAACATAATTAATTCTCCGCACTAAGTTTAATTTCTTGACGGCGCTCGGCAGCCATCGATCACCAGAAGTCGATAGCCTATGGCGCGGTCAATATAGGGTTAAGCGGCCCACATTTTGTCGACACTTGTTTTGTCAACCTCAGTGTCGGGAAGTATACCTGCCTCGTTTTGGGAAGTACCTACGGGCTGGCAGGTACACTTGCGCAGATATACTCACTGCCTCCAAAGACGACAAATGCATCAGTGCCACTTAGCACACCTCGTGGTGACTCCCTGAAGCTTAGGAGAAACAAAGTTGGTATTGTTTTGCCAGGAAGTGTCATGCCATACAGAGCTGAGAGCGACAAGCCGCTTAAGGGGCAGTGCAACAGCCCTCTAAGCCACCACCGAACGCTTTCTGAGCCTGTTTGGGTGCACTGGTGGAGTCCTTGTCCGCACATCTTGTGCAGTTGTGTGCCTCACCAGTTAATTATTTGTTCATTAGAAACGTGTGAGGGCTTATGAATAAATGATGCTCACTCGGCCCCTGTGCTCAGCTCCCTGCGGCATGAGAAAAACCTCTTATGCGACCTTGTAAGGCTATGTGTTAACATAAGGCTAGGGTACTAGCAATTGTACAAGCTTGTGTAGCCCATACCACACAACTGTACAGGCTTGCCCCCCAGGATCGTCTATAGTCTGTTTCAACTCAAGAAGGTAGGATGAGGGTAACGATAGCCAGAGAGGAGAAAGCAGATGGAGCGCTGGAGAAGAGAGGGTGAAACCTTTCTCTCTTTAGCCTTCTGTCTGCTTCCCGCTCCCCTACTTTCCTTTTCCTTACCCTTCCTTCTTTAGTTGCAACGGACTATAGCGCCACGTGCCAAGTGACAGATTTCCGTGAAGAGGGAGAAAAGAAAAAGGGGGCCAGGCGGCCTAAGTGCGAGTTACAAATCAGCTTGTCACAAAACCATTCGGTATACATGTCATTATTAGAAAGTGAGGGCCAACCATGACGGCTGTAGTTTCTTGTCAACACTCGGAAGCAGAGAGAGGGATCCAGATTACCATCAGTCAGACAACATTTTCACATTACTTGAACTTCATTTTGCTGCTAACCTACCCCTTCCCCCCTCTTTCCCCATACCCGCAGAGCATTTTATGGTTGCACCTACTCTCTGAGACGAGATAGTTGCCTTGTAGGTTTGTTCTAGCTTCAACTGCTCTTGGGTATATTATCGAGACCGGTTATAACAAAGTCAATAATAACAAAAGAGTGGCTACAGCGAAGTGATCACGATTTCCCATTCCCGTTTGCACTTTTTCAATGCATTTTTGTCTGTTTTTAGCGAAGGAAGTTGAGCGGCTCCCGTGGATATAGCAAAAAGAAATTTTGTGATAATTTAAAAAAATAATAAAATTCTGAGTTTACTAAAGGCTCTGTTATACTCCGACGTAACGCGTGCGCAAGCGAACGCTGGCCGAAGTCGGCTACGTCACGTCAGTTACGCCGCGCGCGTCAGAAATTTGCCCTCTTTATACTCCGGCGGCCCTGGCGACTAACGCGGCTGCGCGTCGGTGGGCCGCCGGCGTGGCGCATGCGCAGAATCTGACTACGAGGGCACGTTTCCTGCGAGGTTGCGCCATTTCCGGTTCCTTTTCGTTTCCAATAGCAGACGAGAATTCTCGCGCTTGTTGAGCGCCGAGTTCGAGCGATGGCGAGGACGTACCTTGCGCGACGAAAACTCGGGCTTGCACTGTTGGTGCACCGCCTGCGCCGCAAGCGGAGGCGGTCAATGTACATGCGGTACATCTTTGACAAGCGCACGGTCTACGGTACTCAAGCTTCCTCGAGTCGTAGACACTCGGGTGAGGACGAATTCCCTCGATCGGCTTTTGGACGACCGAGACGTCCGATTCTTTAAACGGGCCGCCACAGGGAGTGGTGCTCCCGTCGTCTGCTATTGCTCGTATTCGCCGCGAGGGCTGCCGGAGCCAGCGCGTGATGCATCCTGGTCCGGCGCGGCCGGCGCGGCCGGCGCGGAATAAGGCATGCTCCATTTTGGCGTCGAGGCGGTCAGGCTGCGTCGAACGCCGCCGGTCGCGCCGGTTACGCCACGACACCGGAGTATAGAGCGTCGGGTTTTCGCCGACGTGACGTCGCTGTGACGCGCTCGCACGCGCGCACGCGTTACGTCGGAGTGTAACAGAGCCTTAAGTCTCGGACCGCTGCACTTTACTGCCACGGTCAAGAAGCCACCCAGAACAGGCTGCTGAAGATGCTGGAAAGGCCACCGGCGGCAGTCATTGCAACGTCGTCTGCTCCCCGCTCCTTGCTTGGGAAGCTGCTTAACTGCATCGCACGCGGAGAAGCCGTCGTGACATGCCGATAGAGGCGCAGCGCTAGCGACAACGTACCGGCAGAGATGACGGAGAGAGCCTAGATTTAAGAGAGGGAGCAGTAAGTACGCCTGCATTTGATTGTCATGTGGCAGCAGAGGCGGACACGTTTGCAGAAGGTGAACGCTTTTGAGTTTTGACTGCTTGTATGCTGCAGCTCTTTTTGCAAATGGGCCCCACAAACCACGTGACCTCGATCGAGCAGTTGCCTCATCTCTTAAATCTAGGCTCTCTATACTGACAACAGACAAGCTTGAGTGCGAACTCAGCGCCGTGTGCGCTTCTTTGTTTGCTTCGTGATCCGTGTCTGCGTCTAGTCGGTGAGGTTGCTCTTGCGTGAAACTCTACTTCGCTCAAGTACCGATTTTGTAAACCATGGCGACTCAACGATGGAGAGTCACGGCACTGCCGGCACCTTGACGGTAAAAACGAAGGCAACCTCTGTGAATCAAAAGCGTGCCATCCTCGACGGAGTGCACATAAACAAAAAAATTCTGTCCACCGCCGGCGTCCTCCGAGGTGGCCGTCGCAGCGGTCAACACCATTCGTACGTAGCAGGATCTTTTTTCAATCGTAGCTTCTCGTAGTTGGCGAAAAGCAGCTCCTATCTAGCAGAGGATGCGTGCAGGGAAGCCTCGACTGCTTTCTGCAGGCTCGATAAACATGTGCCAGTGACAGCCCGTGTTCCCTTTTTTTTTTTCATGTTATTTGTATGAGTTCAGATATAACGAAGAAGCCGATATAGTGAAGCGAGTTCTGATTCCTGTTGACTTAGTTATAGCCGGTCTTGACAGTATATTTTTTTATTACTTCATTTTGCATTTTATGACTTCCAAATGGCACAATCATGTAACCTAAGCATGATTGTTTCATCGTAAAATTTTTTTCCTACAAGCTGAATTATAATATTGGGATTGAAGCAAGGAAACAAAGTGGTCGTAGCCTCCACTTGCTGCTGATGCATTTGGTATATTTAACTTTTTGTGGCAGTTTTCTTATCACATAGTTACCATCCGACATATACCAACATACTCTTCTACATTGTGCCTCAGTGGTAGTGTTTTGGGCACCTTCAATTTATGTTAAGTAAAAAAAATTGGGAAGGCTAGGCATTACCTTTCTGTTTTGACAAGACTATTAGAAACTTGCATTCTAGTCAAAATGCCACAGAGTTTAGTAGACTAGGGGTGCACCATAAGAACTATGAGGTGACAAAACTACCTCCTACAAAAGTGTATCCTGTATCCCTGTTTTTTAGGAAAATGTGAGGAAAGGCCACAAAAATGAAGTGGTAATTGTCAGACTAGGACCCCCTCTGTCCAAAGCTCTTCACTTAATTCACTGAATTCATGCAGACCTACTGGTTGTAGTGAAAAATATTTTGGATATTTTATCATGAGCATACGAACACCAGTAGCTGATTTGGAACACTCTATGTTCTGAGCATCTTCACATTCAAACCCTGGTTGCAAAACACATTAACTGCAGGCCTTCAAAGACTTGTGAGCTTGTGGGTGGATATAAATCGGCAAAATTTAAACAGCAGATGCAAGGTGACATGGCATTGCCCACTCTATCTCATGGCCATTACTGACTCACTAGCACTTGCTCTGTGCCATCCATGCTGTGCGAGCCTCCGTTTGCCATACCACCCATATTTTTATTGTTTAATGAGCCTTGTTCATATCGCTTTGACCACTTCACTTCACTTCACGGCTCATTTTGATGTCAGCTATAGCACATCATGATGGTTTGCTGAAATAGGATGCCATACTTCTGTCAACAACCTGTCGCACCTGCGCGACTGCGCTATGGGTGCTTCAGTTTGTGTAAACATGAGTAGGTGCCTTTACAATGCCCTAAAAGTGCTTGCAGCTCTCGTTTACGTCGGCCACTATGCAAGTTACTGATAGCTTCACCATTGATAGTGAAAATGGTCAATTTATTTACAGGTCAGCTAATGCCGAGATGCTTGCTGAAGCCCCTGAACCAACAGCAAGTCCTGAGCCTGCCCTGTTGCCAGCCTCCACGAGCCTTGCAGGATGGCAAGGAGATGATTTGGGAGGCACTGCAAATCCTGCATTAAAAGCTGGTCCTGTCACCTTTGAGCAGAACACTCCTACGAGACAACCTCCACAACCTGCTGTTTCAGGTCCAACGTGCGGGGATTCACCCCAACAAGACCCAATGGTATGTTTCTTTTTTGCTATTTAGTCTGTAACATAAAGTGTGTTGTATGTATGAACTGTTACTCCACATCACAAAACTAGTAAGATGTTCATTTTTTTTATTTCCTTTATCCTGGGTACTGTTATGTCTCCTAAACAATATACCTATGCTAGCACCCACCAGAAGCCCGTTCCACTGCAGTGATAGTCGATGCGTGAAGGCTGGTTCGGAGCGTTTTAAGGCATTGATTTTGTTAAAGTGAGATGAAAATGAACGCAATACTTCGACTATGCAAGCAGAGCCCTATGCACGCCTTTTCGCCCTCAATTTGCAAAGAAGTGAAAGCGGTAGCTGTGTCATGTTCATGCAACGTGGGCCAAATGTTGCCGTCGTGTACCTGAGGACGCAGCCGAGAAGAGATTAGGAAAAAAGGGCTTAGTTATTGGCATTGCGAATGCCATCTACAACTGCCACAAGTGCCCAGTAAAAGGTGAAGTTAGGACTGTTATGCTCTGCTTGTACAGCCAGACAATTGCATTAGCTTTCTTTTCATTCTAAATTGAACAATCTTTTAAAACACTGGAGAACAAGTTTCAAAAAGCAACAAAACCTCGGCCGGCTTATCCTCACGCTAATTCTCAGATCTCTCTCTTCATCTTTTCCTTCTGCGTGTTCGGTCGTGCCCGCATTGACGAGAGAAAAGACAGCTTTACCCATCTCTAGTGCGACGACAAAGACGATGACGTCAACAACAACAAGCACTAACACCGAAGTCCCTACAAAGTTTCACCTGTAAGGCCACCGCTTTAAAAGCACGAACTGCTTTGCAAAAGAGAACATGGCGCCACTAAAGCTGAATATAGGACAACTTTCTCAATGACTTGAGGTTTTTGTCGTGTTTACTCATGTTGAAAAGACAATATTTATCAAATAGGGCATTAGATTGGGCACTAAATGGCACATCTTGCCAACCTGTTGCATCATACCCATTGTGCGTCGTGCCTTAGTTCCCGTGGCCGCCACCACACAGCTGCGAATCGCAAAATATTCCCATTCCTTTCTTTGCTATTACGCAACGGAATCGCGATATTTCCAAAGAATGATGCGGTTTCTCCGTTCCTTTCGGTGAGATGAACAATGTAAATATTTAAAACTGCAACTTCTTTCGAATTTAATGTCGTTGCATCGCCCCTTTAATGGCTGGTTTTTAACTTCATTTTTTTTTTATTTTCTTTCTATTGTGTTGAAGTTTAGTATACTGTTGTATATCTCAGTGATGATTTCAAATACGCAATTAGTTTTCAGGTAGCCTTACTAGATCCTGAGTTATCAATAAATTTTAATTTTAACAAGGTCCTTCTTACGGGTCGTTAGCATAAAATTCTTCAGAATATATCAGATTTTTTTGTAGAATTGCATTCACCAAGACATGCGTTGTGCGGTGATGCTATTTTCATTGCTTTATATGTCATACAATAATTTTAATTAATTAGTCTCAAAAACATATAGCCTCCCATTTTGTGCAACTTGATTGCAAATGTTTTTTTACCAATGTAATTTTCATTACATCAGGCTTAAAATAGCATCACTGCACAAAACATGTCTTGGTGAATGCAATTCTTGAAAAATGTCTGACATATTCTGAAGAATTTTACGCTAACAACCCGTAAGGAGGACCTAATTAAAATTACAAATTTATTGATAACTCAGGATCTAGTAAAGTCATCTGAAAACTAATTGCATATTTGAGGTCACCACTGAGAAATACACCATTATATTATATGCCAGCATGATACATGAAAAATAAGGAAGTTAAAGATCAGCATGCCCCCTTGAGAGTGAACTGTAGCTGCGTTCGTTTTACTTGCACCTCCTGCACCGGTCCAGAAAAGTGTGGGGCAGTCCACTTCCGGTATGTGTATTGAGATACAACCTACACTGCCCTACACTTTTCTGCACTGGTGCAGAAGGTGCAAGTAAATCAAACGCAGCTATTGTATACACGAACTCAACTCTCCTACGTCACGCCGCTGTGGTGGCGCGTCGGTCGCACTTCCGGTCTATTGCAGTGGACAGAAGTCGCCGTGCGAGACATGCATTCTTGTGTTCTTTTCGCACAAACCAGACAAAAAAACCTGCGTTCTCATCAAAATGCTGCGACGGGGGCTGTACCAAAAAAGTCTAGAATGGTTTGAAAATGAGTTTTCATGTGTTTCTGCCCGCTCCGTTCGTCCGAGTATGTGGATAGTAGCCGTGAAAAGGGTAAGCCAGACGCTGTCGAACTACGATTGCCTGTGCGGGCCACACTTTGTGGTCGCCAGATGTATTTGTTTTGTTCCAACATGAATGAGAGAAAACCGCCAAGTTGTCCGGGCCACCCGCGGGTTTAGTGCGTCTTTAAATTCACACGGCAGCGTGATCGTTCAAACTTTTGTCTGCTCTTTCGAGCTTGCTTTTTGTCGTCTGCTCGTTCAAACAAAAACGGCCTGTAGACCAAACTTTGACCCGGTGATTGCAATAAGAAGTAATTGCAGGCCTCAAAAAGACTTAAGTAGGCCCGGTGTAAAGAGTAGATACAAGATGTTGATCATTGGTACCAGTGGCCATCACCGACTTGTTACGCTTGGTCTGTTCTCACTTCCGAATTTCAGTATCGACTTCGATCATCGCCGCTACCTTCTACACTTTTGCAGCACGAGCGACGTCGCGACCGAAAATATCTAGAAGAATCTCATCATGGTTTTGGCGCTCATTCTGCGGCGTTCATGCAAATGAATCGCCGCACAACAAATGATTTACACAAAGTTTGGCGGTGTAATGAGCCTTGATAATTTCGCTCAGGCGATTAAAGTGGTAAGACATTGCTATTAGGACGTAGAATAGACAATTCCAACGCGAAACAGAGTATGCAGACTCGCACAGACGCCGACAACGTGACATTCCAACGGTTTGTTGACGCGGGACACGGTGCTTCTTGCCCGCACTCCATTGCGCAAGCGTTCGAACTGTCGTCTGCTCTTTCAAGCTTGTCTGCTTTTTGTCGTCAGCTCATTCAAACGACAGCGGCCCGTAAACCAAATGTTGACCCGGTAATTGCAATAACAACTAAGTGCAGGCCTCAAAACACTCTTAAAGGTTGGTTGGGGTAAGTAGGCAAAGTATAAACAGTAGATACAAGAAGATGTTGATCATTGTTACCAGTGGCCATCACCAATTTGTAATGCCCGATTCTACTTGCGGTTTTCAGTATCGACGTCCACCATCTCAGCTACGGTCCAGGCTTTTTTGGAGCCCGAGCGACGTCGCGACTGAAAATGGCGAGCAGAATCTCATTCTGCGAGTCAGGCTTTAGCGCCCATTCTGCGGCGTCCGCGTGAAATGAATCGCCGCAAGTCACATTATTCACGCAACGTTTTGCCTCGTTAATTTTGCTGAAGCCGCTCAAGTAGTCGGACATTGTTAGGAGGACGTAGAATCAACAATTCTAACGCGAAAAAAAGCACAGGGACTCCCCACCTACGCCGAAAACAACGCAACTCAACGGTTTGTTTATGGGCAACGGCGGGCTTCTTGCCCACCGTCCACCGTCCATGCGCGGCGCCGGTGGCGTCCTCTAGGGGTGCTCCGGTTTGTTTGTAAACATGAGTTGGTGTATAGAAAGTGCATGCGCTTCGACATCTGTCTTTGCAATTGTGTAGCCTCAGCTAGAGCTCGGGCTACCATGGTGCAACAGGCGTTGCCTCAGAGTGTTTGTTGAGCACAGTCGAAGCTTGAATTCATAGCATTCCTCAACATGACCAATGAAGTCCATTCACGGAGCATCGTGGATGCTTGAAGCAACACTTCTGACATTGCACGAGAGCAAACATAATTTTGTTGCATTAATTAAAAGATATTTTATTGTAGTGAGCTTTTGACTAATAGTGGAACATGGTGAAGACAAAATTTTGAAGTCTAGACCCGCTCAAAACAGAGTAGGTCTTGCTTCAAAACCAAGTAAAACTGAGTGAAAAACTGAATGAACCCTTGTAAAATTTGAATAAATATTGAAGTGATTCGGTGTGTATTTCCTAACAATTGTTTTATCGGTTTGGCGAGAATGGGAGCTAAAAGAATAAAGGGACTGCCCGGAGCTGCTTTAGACACCCTAGGATTGCAGTTTCTTGGTAACTATTGTTAAGCTTTGACTTTTAAGTCGATGCATAACCTAATGCTGAGGAACTTTTAATTTTATATTATTCCATGTTTTCTTATATACATATTTTGGGAGGCTACAGATGAAACAAAATACATCGGTTTTTGAATATTAGAGGCTAATATTTTGTAAAAAATGTAGGTCTGTTTTTTGCATAGTGCAACATGATTGATTTCAGAACACTGTGTAATGCAGAAGGCATTTTGTTCCCCCAGATGCAGCCCTTGTTTCCTGGGGCTCTGGTGACCCACGAGGAGAGCCTCCTTTTGCTCATGGCTCACGTCTTGCGACACCATGGCTCCAAAGAGGCAACGGAGAGCCTCTTGAAACTGCTACAGTACCATCTTCCAGAAGGCAGCCAACTACCTGCGACAAAGTATCTCTTTGAAAAATACTTCACAAAACAAGAGCAGCCCCTCACGACTCACTTCTATTGCCCTACATGTACTAGCTACATTGGAGTCGGAGAAACCGATAAGCTAGATTGTGTGTGTGGTGCCGAGCACTCAGCAAAGGTCCTGTTGCGTGGAGGCTCATACTTTCTGAGCTTAGACTGGAAGGCTGAGCTCTGCAACCTCCTTGCCAACAAAGGCCCCTTGCCTGAGAAGCCCGGCCTGATGTTTGACGTCAGTGACATCACTCAGAGCCCTGCTTATAATCAGCTGCCGCTGGGCCCTGATGATGTCACGCTGACATGGAACACTGACGGGGTGCCAATTTTTAAATCCTCAGCTTATAGTGTATGGCCACTAGAGTTGATGGTAAATGAACTCCCGTTTAAAGAAAGAATGAACAACATTCTCCTGGCAGGTTTGTGGTTTGGGCCAAACAAGCCAAACATGCAGTGCTTCTTGGTGCCATTTGTTCAAGAAATGAATGACCTTAGCACCAATGGGTTTAGTTGGGTCGACAGCGATGGTGTTAGCCATTTGACCAAGGCCTATCCCGGTCCGTGCACTGTTGATACTGTGGCAAGGTGTATGTTACACAACCAGACCCAATTTAATGGGGAGTATGGGTGTCCTTGGTGCTTCCACCCAGGCCATGTCATTCCGCAAGGAAGAGGCCATGCTCGTGCGTATGAGGTGAGGAAGGTCAGAAAGAGAACGGATGAGGACTTTGAGAGAGATGCAAAGTCACTGTCACATGGTGTGCTTGGGACCACGGTGTTGTCGCTAATGCTATATTTTAGCATTACCAACAACACCGTGGTCGACTACATGCATGCAGTCTGTCTGGGTGTGGTTAGGGCCACCACGAACCTTTGGTTCAAAGGTGCCCACTCGCGTAAGAGCTTTCACCTGGGAAAAAAGCTGTCGGTGATCGATGCTCGTCTAAAGAATGTAACCCCGCCCTACGAGTTCTCGCGCCTGCCACGTTCACTGTGCCAGCGTAAGTTCTGGAAAGCCACAGAATGGAGGGCGTGGCTTCTGTACTACTCTCCATTTGTTCTGAATGGCCTGCTGCCTGCACAATACTTTCGAAACTGGTGTAGGCTTAGTAGCATAATGCATGCACTCCTGGCTGATGTAGTGGCACTTGATAGACTCGCCACTATTGAAGCTGAGGTTTTACTGTTCGTTAAAGAGTACCAGAACCTGTATGGAATTGCTCAAATGACATACAACATGCACTTGATTTTACATCTGTGTGACAGCGTGCGACAGTGGGGTCCATTGTGGGGCTTTTCTTCATTTCCATTTGAAAACATGAACGGTGTTATAAAAAAGAGTTTCCATGGAACCCAATATGTGCCCCAGCAAATCTGCAGAAAGCTACTGCTTTGTCAGTTCTTGCCTTCCTTAGCGAACTCGCATAGTGCTTTCGTTGGCAAACCAGAAATTTTTCAAGTTTTCGAAAGCCTCACTCGAGGTTACAAGAGACTGTTTAATGTTCAAAATCATGTCGGTGCAGTCACCATTGGTACTGGGTCGCGAAAGCTTGTGTCTGTGGAGGTGGACTGCATCAGGAGCATGGGCATGTCCACATGTACAGTTATGAAGTACAAGAAAGTGCTGATTCAGGGAACAAGGTACATTGCCCACTCCTTGGATAAGTGCAGTCGTATAAACTCTGTTGTTTATCTTGATGATGGCTCATTTGGCATCATTGAATGTGTGCTAGTCATGTGTGGTGTGTGTATGTCAAGCTGCGACTGTGAAAGGACCGTGTATTTTTTCCTGCGGAATGTGAAAGCCAGAGTAGTCAAGTTTAGCCCTACGTTTGCACGCATGCACATGCTGGATACTGAGTTCCATTACCGAATCGTAGACATTCAGTGCGTAAGTCACAAGTGTGTTGCATTTGTTGTGCACGGCCAGATGTATGCTTCACCTCTATACAAGAACATTGATTATTGAACTAATTTAGTGCATTTTTTGTACAGATGCCATGTAGAGTTTGTCACTACAGTCGCCGACCGATTATTCGGACTTTGCAGGGACCGTAAAATTGTATAAATAATAGAGCACGCCGAAAAATCAGGAGGTTGAAAAACTTGCCTTTATTACTTCCAAGTGGGCTTAAAAAAGTCGTAAATAGTGCCTTGCTTCAGGTTACGCCTGCATGCTTTGTTTTAGGTTACGCCTCCGTTTGCGTTTGGCAACTTTCTGTTAGCTTGAGAATCGCTGCTTTCTTTTCTAGCGTTACAAACGAGTACTTTCTGTGCTTCTTAACGACTCATCGCGGCGGTAGAACAACAGATGGGGCCATGACGTCCAAGCCAGCGTTCTCCGAACGAGAAGAGAGGCGCAAATACACGAGCGCAAAATGACGACTGGCGACGCGAAAGTGGGGTGGAGGCGCGAAGGGATGGAAGGAAACAAAGCAAAATGATAATGAGGATGATAATGACGTGCAGCTAAATGAAAAAAAAAAAAAGTGCTAGCATAGCATCACGTAGCGATAGGACTCAGGAGTACTCAAGTAGCGCTGCCAAACCAAGTCAATTCATTTGCAGCCAACATAGAAATCAAAATGGCCGCTTCCCGGTGGTGTTTCCCGCTGATCGTTCGGGACGATTTTGTCCGAATAATCAAACTTTCGGACTTCAAGTTGTCCGAAACTTTGGTCGTGAATATGCACTATTTTCATGGGGTAAGTCACGGTTCCTCCCTTAGGTCCAAAATATTGAACAAGTTTGAATTATCGGAGTCCGAAAAAACGGTCGGCGACTGTATACTTATTTTCACGTTAAGATCTAAAAATTGCAATGGAAAAAGCTTGTTTTCTTATGGAGCATTACTAACTTAAATAGGGAATTCAGGTATTTGTACTGTATTTTCACGACTATAGTCATCCGACTACACATGTTTAAACGTTGGTATTTCACATTGTGTGGGAAAATGTACATACAATGAGGAAAACTTAGTGCCTGTCATGCTGGCACTGTGTTTCTCTTGTCGTCAATGCCCTTGTGGATGACTGGCGACAAGCAAGTTGCCTCAAAAAGAACTTGTGGGTCTGGCTTTGGTTGCCCATGCTTTGGTTGTTAAAAAGTTTGAGCACAATATTGACTACCAACGGTCTTTCTTCGACCATGGTTGTGATGCCTCAACGAGCGAACTAACGACTAGGTCTGAATTATCTAGGGGTAAACATGGTTAGCCGAAATTGGGCCCTGCGTAATACACATTGAGTGCACACTATAAAAGGGAAAAAAAATTTTTAGCTGAAATTGACCCTTGCTGACTATACACCGGGCAAGGACCTTAGTCCAAAAAATACAGTATGCTCATTTAAGATCAGTTTTTTTCTCAAACTACACATTTCATATGTGAAAAGCTTTGTTTTTCTATTAGAAATTTGCTTTTTTTTTGTTAAGGGGAAAATAAGTATAGCTTGCTTTGACTACCTTCATATCAGTGTGTGTCATTCTTTACATCTTGGCTTGCTTTCATTGTTGAGATTTTTTCTCACTGCACTTTATATTTGTTTAGGGAAGTGGTTCCATATATATATTTGGGATCCTGGTTCAGTATAAAATTTATTTTCAGTAACATCTAAAAATCCGCATACAGTTACATTTGTCCTTGTTGTTTAGGTGATGTCTGAACAACATCTTTTACATCATTTCTTTGTGGCTTGGGTGAGTTTATGTGTATTTAACAAATAAATCAGTTGGGGTTTAGAGAAACAATATGTGTATGCTATAAATTTAATTTCATTCTGTTAATTCATCTGCTACCACAAAGAGAAACAGCTTCTGTGACTGACTGGGTTTGTGTGGTGGAGTATCTGTGTGTTCAGTATCTGTGTTTGAATCAAACTTAATTTTATCCTTCTCAGATGCTTGTTTTTGCAGCATTTTCCTGTTCACCTTTAATCCTCATCTTTCATTGTGTTTTTTTAAGGAAAGAGAAAGGTTGTGCAATTTTATATTGGTAAAATCTGTTTGTAAAAGTGTTTTTTTTTTAATGTATTTGAGTGTGGATTGGTGTAAAAAAATATGTTCAATAAAATCAGAAAACAATGACAGCATCAAGCCTTCTGAGTATCATTACATGCAGTAGCTAAATTTGCCTTGGTTCCAGGATAGGTCATACTTCTCACACTACCTTTTTTTTATTACCTTCTTTTTTTTGTGATGATAAAAAAAAAAAAACACTAAGAGTACATTGCAAAGTTTATTTTATAATTATTTAACCTGCTTCTATTGGGAGAACCAGCTTATCTCTTATCTGATTCTTGAGTGTCTATATTCCTCAAACGGTATATGTGGGTTTGTATAGACAACTAAAGCGTGGCCGAAGATTGGTCTCAAGATATTTTACCACTAGCTTTTATATGCTTGAGGGCTTATAGCTTTGGTGGTGTATGATTTATTATGGGTAACCAAAGCAGCTTTAATCGAGAGTATCTATAGCATCATAAAAACTGAACCAGTGTTTATGTTTGGATAATTGACGGCTGTAATTATACTCGCAATTTGTGTCAGCCTGTGAGCATAACATAGGCGCAAAAACGAATTTTGCGCGCCAGTTTTGACATTTTTATATAAATATTTTAGACTTGATTTTGAACACCTTGTATAGCCGTCCACAGCAAATAGAATTGTCACGGGTCTATAGCTTTGGGGATGTACACTTTTCTATAGCTGTTTACAGAAAGTTAATAGTCGTGGTTCTATAGCATTGGGGACGTACAAACTTGTATAGCCGGCTGCAGAAAGCTGAATGGTTGCTGGTCTCAGCATCAAAGTTATACAGATTTTTATAGCCGGCTACAGAAAATGTAATGGCTGTGGTTCTAAAGCTTTGAGGTTGTACAGTTGTCTATAGCTGGCTACAGAACATTTAATGGCTGCAAGTCTAAAGCTTCGAGGTTGTACATTTGTCTATAGCTGGCTACAGAACATTTAATGGCTGCGGTTCTAAAGATTTGGGGTAGTACAGTTGTCTATAGCTGGCTACAGAAAATTTAATAGCCTCTGGTCTATAGCTCCATGTATATACAATCTTCTATAGCCGCCTAAAGAAAATGTAATGGTCGCAGATCTTTAGCTTTCGTGACATAGAATTTGCTATAGCCGGCTATAGCTAGTTTTATGGGTTTTTATGGCTGACCATAGAGGACCATAGAGGGTGATAGCTTTCCATAGGATTTTCCATAGACGTCCATAGACCATTTTTGTATATGACCCGAGTTAGGAAAGAAAACGACCCTTTGCCCCATAGACTCCCAGGAAGATTTAGCAATTAAATGGCGTCCATGTCCCGTGATCGCCGATCTAGCAGTTGCACCCACCCTCACTTGAGCCTCCCTACATGCGTGCCAAGTGTTCGTGACAATTTTGAACTAGAATAATTGTGCTTCATTGCGGTCATTTGCCGAAAATGTAAATCGAGCAATGAACGAGGAGCCATGCTTGAAAACGG